ATATATACATATATATATGTATATGTATATATTAATGTATATACTGACAAGTACACGTACCCATACGCTGATGTACACACGCACACACTCACCACCACGATTGTATATGGCTGCACGAGAGTAGCTCATGTATTAACCTACACACCACGATACACACCGCTTTCACACGACACAATCGGACACGAATAGGCACGCCCATGCATATTAGCGTTTTTCAACGGCTAGAAACATTCCAAGATCTACACACATTCACCAGCGTGAATATGACCACGCCTCAAGCAGATGGATACGTATTCACTAACATTCATACGACCACACCTGCACATAGAATTGCAAGCCGATGCATACATACCCTCCGGCGCACACAAGTACACACCTATTTCTGCACACACTTCGACACTACGATGTCACATACATGTACAAACACGTCAACTACTTGACATATGCTTATTTAAAATTACTACTGCCTTCGTATATACCCATAAGACACCCGCACACACCAGTACACACACACACACACCGGCAGAACCTACAAACACACATATATATATGCAAGGTCGTATAGAGCGGACGCCTGCTAATATAGTCATCCACATCTTGGTGCATCATAACCAGGTGTATTGGCAGGGCATGCAAATAAGCAGTTTCTGGATAAGCTGAAGGTGGAGAAGGAGAGAGGCATCACCGTTAAAGCACAGAGCTCTACGCTTTTCTACACACACCCTGAGACTGGCGTGGAGTACATGATCAATCTCATCGACACCCCCGGCCATGTGGACTTCAGCTACGAGGTGTCGCGCTCATTGGCTGCGTGTCAGGGGACGGTATGTGGGTACACAGGCATACACGCACACACACACACACACATACACACACACACACACGCGCGCGCACTCACCTACAAAGACATACAGACGCACAGACACACACTTACAATCACACACCACATACACACACACACACACACACACACACACACACACACACACACACACACACAC